ATCAAACTAACCTTGGAGTGCATGATACTGGTCTCTTAACTTTATCTGCCTGTCCTGATACCTTAAGAAGGCATATGAGATACTTGCCTTTATTAATCAAGACATAGCGTTTAAGAGTGGGGAGGTTATGCTGGAACTGTATAAAACAATGGTTAGGCCACAGCTAGAGTATTGTGTGTGGTTCGAGATGCCACATTAGAGGAGGGGTGTGATTGCATTGGAGAGGGTGCAGAGGAGATTTACGAGGATGTTGCCTAGGCTGGAACGTTTCAGTTATATGGGGAGATTGTACAGACTGGGGTTGTTTTCTTTAGAACAGAAAAAATTAAGAGGGGACATGATTAAGATGTATAAAATTATGCTGGGCATAAATAGGGAAGAGAGGAAAGAACTTTTTCTCTTGTTGGAGGAATCGGTGACCGGGCAGTATAGATTTAAGGTAAGGGCCAGCAGATTAGAGGGGATGTGAGGAAAAATATTTTCATCCAGAGGGTGGTGGGATCTGGAGTTTACTGCCTGTGAGGGTGGTAGAGGCAGAAACCTTCCAACATTGAAGTATTTAAATATACACTTGCAATGCAAGGCAATAAGTGCTAGAAAATAAGATCAGAATAGTTAGGTTGATGTTTATGACTGGTGTGGACATCATGGGCTGAAGGGGTGTTCTGTTTTCAGAGAAATACAGCAATTCTGTACAGTATCATGCACTCCAAGGTTAGTTTGTTCTTCAATTGAGTCCTACCGTTCATCATGTATTCCCTTGCCATGTTTGTTCTGGCTAAGTGAATCACCTGACATTTATCTGCATTGAATTCCATTTGCTACTGATCAGCCCATTTGATCAGCCTGTCTCTATCCTCCTGTAGTCTAAGGCTATCCTCTTCATTACTTACCATCCACCAACTATGGACTCCAAGGAACAAAATGTTAAAATTAAAGCCAGACTGTTCAAGAGTGATCTTTGTTAGCATTTTGTAGTTACACATGGGATGTGAGTAATCAATGCCAGCATCCATTGCCCGTCCTAGTTACCCTTGAGAAGGTGATGGTGAGCTCCTTTTTTTGAACACTGCAGTCCATGTGCTGTAGGTAGACTCACAATACTGTTGACGGAATTGTAGAATTTTGACCCAACAACACTGAAGGAACAGTGATATTTCTAGATAATGAATGGCTTGGAAGGGAAATTTCAGGAGGTAATGTACCCAGGTATCTGTTGCACTTGGCCTTCTGGATGGTGGAGGCCACATGTTTGGAAGGTAGGTACTCTCTCAGGAGCCATGGTGAATTGCTGCAGCGCATCTTTTAGATAGTACACATTGCCGTTACTGAATGCCAATAGCGCAGGGACTGGATATTTGTGAATGTGGTGCCAATCAAGTGGGTTGCCCTGTCCTGGATGGTGTCAAGCTTCTTGAGTGTTGTTGGAGCTGCACCCATCCAGGCAAGTGGTGGAGGGTTGAGGGGTATTCCATCACACTCCTGACTTGTGCCTTGTAGATGGTGGACAGGCTTTGGGGAGGCAGGAAATGAGGTACTCACTGCAGAATTTCCAGCTTCAGACATGCTTTTGTAGCCACATTATTTATATGGCTAGTCCAGTTCAGTTTCTGGTCAATTGTAATCTGCAAGATGTGATAATGGAGAAATTCAGCAATGGTAATGCTAAGGATAGATGATTAGATTCTGTCTTGATGAAATGAGCATTATCTGGTGCGAAGAGCCAATTATTAGGCAAAATCTATTGCTCCAGTTTCTGAGAAGTCAGGAATGGTGCTGAGCGCTGTGCAATGCTCTGTGAAGATACCCACTTTCTGACCATATTAGACCATAATATGTAGGAGCAGAACTAAGCCATTCAGCCCATTAAGTCTGCTCCACCATTCAATGAGATCATGGCTGATCTGATAATACTCAACTCCACTTTTCTGCCTTTTTCCTATACCTCTTGATTCCCTTACTAATTAATCTGTCTGTTGCAGCCTTGAATATACTTAATGACCCAGCCTCGACAGCCCTCTGTGGCAAAGAACTCCACAGATTCACTACCCTCCAAGAGAAGAAATTCCTCCTTATCTCTTATGTGTGCAACACTTACATGTGTGACCTTTGATCCTAGACTCTCCCATAAGGGAAAACAACCTCTCCGCATCTTTCCTGTCAAGTCCCCTAAGCACCTTATGTAATAAAATAAACAGAACTGCAGATGTTGGAAATCTGAAAAAGAAATTGCTGGAGAAACTGAGCTGGTCTGGCAGCATCAGTGGACAAAATGCAGAGTTAATATTTTGAGTCCAGTGACTCTTCTTCAGTGAATCTTGAATGATTCATTAATGTCTCCTCTCATCTAAATTCCAATGAGCACAGGCCCAGTCTATTCAACCTCTCCTCATAATGGTAAGATTGTGCCTCCATATCTGGTACTAATATAATGAACTTTCCCTGGCTTGTCTCCAATGCCAATATATCTTTCTTTCAATAAAGGGGCCCAAAACTGTTCACAGTATTGCAGCTGTGATCTAACTAGTGCCTTATGTAGTTTTAGCAAAACCCCTCCCTACTCGTGTACTCCCGTTGAAATAAAAGCCTACATTATTTTTTACCTTTCCTATTACCCTCTGCACTTGGATGCCAGCTTTTATTGATTCATTCATGAGGACTCTCAAATCTCTCAAAGAGGTAATACATGAAGCAGCTGAAGATGGTTGAGCCTTGGACACGACCCTGAGGAACTTGGGGTGCTGCGGTCATGTTCCTACCTGTGAGCCTATTCCTGGCATACATGAGTAAATCTTAATATAGTAACATCCCATAAACACACCCTTGGCAATGGCAAATTCAGTAAAAATAGGTTGTCTCACATGCAGTTCTAGCAGCAGGAAGAGAGCCCCAGCTTTCAGCTGTAACAGAGAGAGGAATAAGAGCTTCCCCATCCAGCTTCAAGATCCCAGCATCTGCAGATAGCTAAAAATCCTGGTTCAGTGGGTGCTTGACCCCACTGATTCAGACTGCTTCTATTGTTCCAACTTCAAAAAAAAACCCAAGGCCTCACAAGCTGTTTATGTTATTGGCTTTGAGCATACACTCAGCACCTCTATCTCAACCTTTCTTCATTTAAAAAAAGACAAAATGTACCTTTTACACCCATTGTATCGTCACACATATACAACTCTCACCAATTTGGAATTTTGCCTAGTTACTGTTGATACGAATTTTGATGGCACGTTCAGTCAAATGCTGCCTCATTCAGAACCATGTCACTCCCTGGGTAGGCTACCTTCTGAGCCCTGAATCTGGCCTGTACCTGCTCCTAATCTGTATGTTTGAATTTATTAGTGACTATTTCATATTTATGGCTCTGTATTCTCTGTATATACTGTCAATCATTTTCAGCAGCTTCCTCAAACACCTTCCCTCCAACATACCACTTCTAACGTTATGTTCACTGATGATGGTACAATGTTCATAGAATATAGAACAGTACAGCACAGTACAGGCCCTTCGGCCCACGATGTTGTGCCGACCTATTATCGTACTAAGATCAATCTACCCTGCATACCGTACATTTTACTATCCTCCATGTGCTTATCCAAGAGTCGCTTAAATGTCTCTGAAGTATCTGACTCCACTACCACTGCCGGCAGCACATTCCACACGCCCACCACTCTCTGTGTGAAGAACCTACCTCTGACATCACCCCTATGCCTTCTTCCAATCACCTTAAAATTATGCCCCCTCGTAATAGTCATTTCTGCCCTGGATTCGTGACTCCTCAGATACCGATGCAGTCCACATTCAAATGCAGCCAGACTTAGACAATATCCATGTTTGGGCTGAAAAGTGGCAAGTAACATTCACGCTACACAAGTGCCAGGCAATGACCATCTCCAACAAGGAACAAACTACTGTCCCTTGATATTAAATAACACGAACATCAATAAACCTCCTATCAACATTAACCAAAAACTCAACTGGGCCTGGCATATAAGTGCTGTGGCTACAAGAGCAGGTCAGAGGCTGGGAATTCTGTGGTGAATAACTCACTTCCTGATTTCCCAAATCCTGTCCACCGTCTGCAAGGTATAGGAGGAATACCTTGCCTGAGTGGTGCAGCTCCAACAACACTCAAGAAGCTTGACACAGTCTAGGCATGGCACCAGGGACCGGGTTCAACTCCAACCTTGGGTGACTGTGTGGAGTTTGCAGTTTCTCCCGGTGTCTGCGTGGGTTTCCTCTGGGTACTCTGGTCTCTTCCCACACTTCAAAGATGTACAAGTTAGGTGGATTGGCCATCCTGAATTGCCCATTGTGGCCAGAAAAGTGCAGGCTAGATGGATTGGCCATGGTAAATGTTGTGTTACAGGGATAGGGTGGTGGTATGGGTGGGATGGTCTTCAGAGGGTTAGTTTGCACTCAAGGAGCTAAATGGCCTCTTTCCATACTGTAGGGATTCTATTCTAAGAACATAGCTCACTTGATTGGCACCATGTGTACAAATACTCACTCCCTGCATCACTGATGCTTGGTAGCAGCAGTGTGTACTATCTACAAGATGCACTGCAGAAATTCACCAAGGCTTAACACTGGGTCAAAATCCAATGCTCCTTCGACACCACCTTCCAAATCCTCAACCACTTCCATCTAGAAGGACAAGGGCAGCAGAGACATGGGAACACCACCAACTACAAGTTTCCTTCCAAGCATCTCACCATCCTGACTCGGAAGTACATTGCAGTTCCTACAGTGGCATTAAGTCACGTTCCTGGAAACTTCAACAGTATCGAAGCTCTACCAACATGATATAGACTGTAGCAGTTCAAAAAGCATATCCCTACCACCTTCACAAGGGCAGCTAGGGACGGGCATTAAATGCTGGCCCAGCCAGCAATGGCCACTTCCCATGAGTAAATGGTAGAAAGAATCAGGTCTTTGGTACAAGTGGAAATATACTCTCTGAATCTTCTTCATCTTGTTGACATCTTTCTTTCTTCTGTTTTCAGGTGAATAGAAGGAATGGGTTGGACCAGATTCACTCTCCACCTGGGAATCGAACACACAGAGACAAACACACACACACTTGCACGCTCCAGGGAAACACTGTCACTGGACCCTAAAGTCAGTCATGTTTTACAGCCTGCTTTTAGGGACTGCTCAATTCACCTTCAGCTTGAAAAGAGGCAACATCGCCTGGAGAATTCTCCAAGTCTCCCCCTCTGCTCACTGACTCAGGATAAACCGAGCTAGTGCATTGCGGACGGTGCCAATTTCCCCTGGGTTGTTCTGGAATGAATCTTGCAGATGTGGCTGCTCACCAAACCCAGGAGTAACATTGTAATAGCATTGTTTCAAAAACAAACTGAGTGCTATTTAATCGGCATGAAACTCTTGAGTTATAAAAATATCAGAGGCGTGGGCAAAAAGCACAATCGATTAAGTTGAAAATCAAATTAGTTGAAAATCAAATTAGTTGATTTCATCTGGGTGATGCTGATGGTGGGGGGTACAGGGGCCACAGTTGCCCCCAAGTTTTCCTGGGTCGAGAGGGGGAATAGAAACCTTTCCTTGTCAGAGTGTCCTTAGAGAGGGAGAATGCAGTGCCCACGGTTTCCTTCAAGTTCTCTATGACCAGCAGACACAGTGAGGACTAGAATGCATATCCCCCACCCCACCCACCAAAAACAACATTGTGGGAATTAAATTTGTAATTTTCCTTTGACTTTTGTTACAGTGACCATTAGGGGCTGTTAATTCTAATTTTAATTTCACCACCGTCTTATTTTTAAAACAGTAAACACATTCAGGGTCCCAGCACGGAATCACTGTCCAACCAAAAGCTTGGCTGTGATGCTCCTTAAGTTCAAATCGTGCTGTAATATACACATACGCTGACATACACACAGAGCTTAGTCCATCTGGGCGGCCAACAAAATCCAGAGTAATCCAGTGTATTCGGACCTCTGTCATTGCCAACCATTGCAAATACTCCACATTCAAGATCCTGATCCAAGTTAGCTTACCTGCTCCACTGTATAGCTCTCGGATCTCCACTGAACAAATTATTTTTCCATTTTGTGTGGGCTCCAGAAGTGTGGCCCCCTCCTATACCTAAATGTCTTCCACAGCCATGACAAAGTCTTAGTAATCACCAGTCTCCAAGTGCACCTGCTGCCAAAAATTCATATCTGTGCTTTTGGTTCCTTCAGCCTTCACATTTCCAATTGTGGCACAGTAACCCTTCCACTTTCTGCAATCTCTCGTTTATCTGAAACTCTGCTACATGTGTCCTAACTTGCAACAAGTCCTGTTCATCTGACACTCCAATTTTGTAAATATTCAAGCGGTACTCCCCCAGATCAAAGTTGCTGGAATTTAATTCTTTTCTGTGAAGGTGTTCACTCAAGGTGGCATCACCTGTTGAATTTAATGCTTTTCCCTGACATTGACCCCAGTGTTGTCAGTTAGTTCGCCTTCCTGACCTTTGCGCTTCATCTTCTTTTCACCACAGCCCAGAGCCTGTACCTTCAGTCAAAGAGCACTTCAACTCTTAATTCCCTTGCCTCCTTCAAGACTAACCCCAACTTCAAAAACCCAGATCAGTGACCAAATTGATGGTTGCTCTCCCCTAATTTCTGGTTCATCTCTGCCCCTATTTGTTTGAACCACTTTGATCTCCATCTGTGCACAGGTTCCGACAAGGTTCCCTAATAGTTGCCTTACTATATTCTGATAAAGGAATATCAGTTAGTGTGAAGATTGCACATATTACACTCCAATGCAGTCCTAGCAATGCACTGGTTAGCAGACAGTGTGAATCATTGGCGTTTATTATGGCTGTTGTCCAGGGATCTTCACAGTGCTCGATTCCAGACAGCTACACAATTGTTTTGTGATGCTATTACCTCCTATATAAAAAAAGTTACACCAGATGGCCATTTTTGTGTCTTTTATTTCTGCCTGCAAACATGCAGTGTGGTCATTATAAACTTTGTTCTTTCACATGGTGAGAAAACATAAGAAATAAGAGTAGGCCATTGGACCCATTGAGCCTGCTCTTCCATTGTGTGGTCATGGCTGGTCTTCAGCTTCAACTCCACTTCCTCCCCTCACCCCTTATCCTGCACATCCCTGAGACGTCAAAATCTGCCATTCCAGTCTTTGATGTGAATACTCTGATGTTTGCAACAACAGCGGGGTAGAGAATTCCAAAGGTTTACAAACATCTGAAGAAATTTCTCCCATTTCATCCTCAATGATTGACTGCATTCATTAGCATGTGCATTAGCAGCGAAACCTCAGAAATAAAGTGGTAGAACCCTAGCAAACCCTTAAAAATGAAAAATTCAGAGAAAGAAAACTTTAAAAATCAGCTTTATATTGCATATGCATTTAATCGGAGGTGAGTATGTGCAGTCAAAACTTATCAGAGGGTTGGTGTCAGTACTTTCTAAGTGATTTGCCCCTTCACTTCAGGCTGCATCTCCATGTTTTAGACATCCCAGCCAAGGAGAAATAACTTCTATACCTACCCTGTGAAGCCCCTGAAGAATCTTGTACACTTCAGTTTGCAAGTGGTGTTCAGTTTATGACCCTTCACCGGACCCGAAACGTTAACTGTTTTTTTCCTCCACAGATGCTGCCAGACCTGCTGAGCTTTTCCAGCAACTTTGTTTTTGTCCCTGATTTACAGCATCCGCAGTTCTTTTGGTTTTTATTCAGTTTATGATATTGCCAAGTATACCTCAAAGGACTAGCCTCTGCTGTTATAATATGGTCGACTTAATGCACGTCAGTGCCTGCAAACATGTTGCTCTACAGTAAGAGGTGTCACTGTTTTTGGCTTTGCAGAGCAATGTAGTTAGGGTGGAGCTGCAGGTAGGTGTCAAATCCTCTGGGGTTGTAAACTTCAATGAGTTCACTTCTCATTTTTCTAAACTCCCAACTTTACTTAGTGTCTCATAATAGGACAACCACCACCTCCCCCGCCACCTTGGGATCAATCGAAAGAACCTGCGCTATGCTGCCTCCAAGGCAAGAATGACCTCCACTAAATATGACCAAGACTGTATTCCAGGTCTGACCTCAATATCCTCAACCATTGTAGCATGTTTTTTTTTTAAAAAAAACTTAATTCCTATACTTCAATCACTGTCCAAAAATTACCATTTGTCTTCCTAATTATTTGCTATACCAGCCCACCTTGTATGTCTCATACAAATACACCCAAGTCTTCAAACTTACTTTTAGCTGAATATACAAATGTCACACCATTAAAAAAAGAATTTCTATTCTTATGACCAAGATGATTAACCTTACACTTCCCCACATTATCCTCCATCTGCCAAGCTGTTGCTGCTTTCATAACTTGTCTGTAGCTCAAATGTTTCCTCCTCACAGAAAGCATTCCCACACAGCTTTGTATCATCAGCACGTTATTCTAACATTTGTAAAGATCCCATCCTCAAACTCTTCAAGCGTCTCCGGTGTTCACTCACAGACCTATATTGCTCCCAGTTCAGCAAAGCTTTAAAATTCTCATCCTTGTGTCAAATGTTTCTTATGGCTTCATCTTCATCTATGTAATCTCCTTCAGTCTTGCATGCAATTTCTTTAATATTCCAGCTCTGAATTAAGTACAATTGTTCTGCTGGTTAGACCCCACTTGCAGTACTGACAACAGATCAGGGCACCATACCTTGGGAAGCATACATTGGCCTTGGAGGGAATACAATGTAAGTTTACAAAAATTATATGTAGACTTCTGAGGTTATGTTATGGAGGAGAGATTATACAAGTTGGGCCTGACTACACTAGAATTTAGAAGCTTAAAAGGGGTGACCTGATCAAAGTCGTCAAGATATTAACAGGAAAAGACAGCCTGGATACATTTTCACTGTTTAGAAATCCTAGAACAAGGATAGACTAAAAATTACAGCCACACCATTCAGGAGAGATATTAGGAAGCTCTTCTACACACAAAGGGTGATAGAGGTTTGAAACTCTTCAACAAATAGCAGTTGATATTAGATTAGTTGTCAATTATAAATGTGAGATTTATTTTTGTTAAGATATTAAGGTATATAGACCACAGATCAGCCATGATTGTCTTTGAATGATGGAACAGGCTAGAGGGGCTGAATGGCCTATTCCTGTTCCTGTGCTACTGAGGGCTACCTATATTCTAAACTTTACAAAGACTCTAAACTATCCTGAACCTCCTGACCTCTTGTTCCTACCTCGCTGGCCAAGCTCTTAGTTCCCTATTCCAAAATCATAGTTTGATTACTCTCCTATAAAACAACTTTTAGTTTAGCTACATTAAATGCACAATATGAATGTAAGGTATATTCTCACACCCTCAACCTTTCACATTCACTCCCTCCACTACCAAACCTCAGTGTCACCAGTGTGCATTATCTGAAAGATGCTCTACAGAAATGACCAAGGTTCCTTAGAAAGCACCTTCCAAACCCATGCCCACTTCCATCTAGAGGAACAAAGGCAGCAGAAACATTGGAACATTGTAACCTGTAGATTCCCGTCCAAGCTGCTCATCACCGAGTTGGAAATATGCCACCATTCCTTCACTACTGCTAGTCAAAATCCTTCCTGAAGAGCATTATGGGTCTTCCCTACAGCACAGGACTGCAGCGGTTCCAAAAGGCAGTTCACCAACACCTCAACAGCAACTAGGGATGGGAAATAAATGGATGCACACATCCAATGACTATGTTTAAAAAAAAAACACTTACCTTGCATCAGACAAATACATTAACATGGAGAACACTTAAAAGGAATGATTTAGGTGAATGCCACGACTTTAACCTTGAAGAGCTCTTTTCACTCTCAGTTTGCTGGTGATGTTCAGTTTATGATATTGCCAAGAACATCTAAGGACTGTGCTCTGATGTTATAATACGGTTGACTTAATTCATGTCAGTTCCTGCAAACATGTTGCATTGCAGTAAGAGGCATCACTGTTTTTGGCTTTGTGCAGCAATGTAGTTTGGGTGTAGGCAGGTGCCAACTCCTCTGGGCTTGCAACCCCAATGAGTCTCATGCTGATGGGAGAAGACACTTCCTGCACTGTTGACCATGACTGAAATTAGATTCTGTGCACTCACTACCTGCCACCCTGCACCTCCCACCGCCCCCCCAAAAAAAAAACATTCTATCTTGCTCCAAAGGACAATCTGTTCCAGAGTCTCATTAAACATGGGCATGCAGTTGTGGGCCTGGTCAATGGGGCATCATTTGGTTGTGCTGTAATAACAAGCATCATCACAGAGCTTGAACTTGCCTTAGCTCCAATACTTTCCCAGCAGAGGTAACCAGATCAGATCCAATAAACCCCTAGTTTCCTTTGGAGCACAGGAATCAACACTGCCAATGGTAACTTTGGCACTTCAACTAGCACATCTATCACCTGGCAAGCCAGACCAGGGATCCTCATGGAATTCAATACTGAGCAGTTCACCTAATAAATCAAGTCATCGAACACAATAGCCGAAACCCAGAAAATGTAAAGCAAAACCTCCCAAGTATGATCAGATCAGGATGCTGTCTCGAAGTCTGGAGGTGCATATCCCAATCCCATTCCAGAGATTTGAGTACAAACTCTTGACCATGATCCCAGTGCGGGACTGAGGGACTGCTGCACTGACTGACATGTTGCCTTTCAGCCAAGGTGTTAAACTAAGCCTCCACCTCAGATGTGAAAAGATCTTACTGCAACACTTTGAAGAAGAGGGCTGCTCTCCCAAGTCAACAATTATCCATCAACCAACATCACAAAGATGATTTTATATTCTGGGATCTTGCTGTGCAAAAGTCAGTGGCTGCATTTCTTAAACTGGTCTCTGTTGAAATGTAAAAAAACTTGTTTAAGGTACATTGTGATATCCTGAGATTGGGGAAGGAGAGATTTATTTGAAGCAAGCATGAGACTCTTCCTTCCCACCCTGGCTCCCCTCCATTAAACTTCCAACATGTTTCCATCCTGCTGCTTGCTGTGAATCACTGGATAAAACCTCAGCTCACAGCAGTCCATCTGTTCCTTGGTGTTTTAATAGGATTCAGGACCACATTTAGAGAAAAAGAAAATACTCTTCTAGTCTCTGATTCTGCACAGGCAAGCTGAACATATACATTAGATTAGCACATGATAACTGGGTAATATATTAATATTTTTAATTAGGAGTCTATACAGTGTGCAAAATCACCTCTTATCATATTAAATACTTTCTACCTTCCCACAGAAGGGGAATACTTTCAGTGTTTGCACCACTTAAGTGATCAACATCTCGTCTTGTAATCTGCTCTGGCCCTGCACCTCAAATTGTCTCCAGACTCCTGTGGTCATGATGGTCTAACCAGCAGAAAAAGTCCTGAATCAGAGATGGCTGCAGAGGCTTTGGGGAAGGAGGCAGGGTGAAGGCAAAGTTTGAAGGATGTGAAAAAGGTTCCAGACCCGAAACGTCAGCTTGCCTGCTCCTCTGATGCTGCCTGGCCTGCTGTGGTCATCCAGCTCTACACCTTGTTATCTCAGGCTTCTCTCCTGCTGTCCCAACATCGTAAGACATCACAGCACTGGAGGCAGCCCTTGACAAACTAGTATCCTTAACTAATATTCCTTTATCCTCCATAGGAACATGCAAGACAATTAAAGGTCCTTCACCTACCTCTCCATTATATTGCATGAAACAGTTCAGGATACACTCAATATCAGCCTGACTCAGTCACATTACCATACCGTCCCATGACGAGCACTCTGAACTTTGCCTTTTGTCTGCTCATTCTCTTGGCTCTGCAATTTGTTTTATAATGATACTCTAAAGTTAAAAGATTCCCGGCCTCTTCTCTCAATGTCCCCCTCCCAAAGAGTCAAACCCTGCAGGGAACAATTGTCCAGTGAGGTTT